GTTAAGCACAAAGCTACGCAATGGGCTATCTGTGCTCTGCCCACCACGGGTATCGAAACCCGGTTTCTAGGCTTGTAAGTCAACAGACATACCACAGTGCCACTGGGGAGCACGTTGGTATTTATAACATTTATTTGTTAATTTAAATTACACTATAACTGATGCCCTAGAAGTTTCTTGCAGCTTGTTTTTTTGGTTGTTGTTGTTGTTGTTGTGTTTTTTTTTTGTTAAGCAATAAATATTTATACTTTACATAAATAACCCCACAGAAGTTGTTACAAGTATTTACATGACAAAATAATTTTTCGTAAAATGAAAACACATAGATGAAATGCGTTATGATTTGGGCTATGTTAATTAAAGATAAAATGTTAGTATTGCTATAACCTCTCTGTAATTTTACCTGTTGTTTTGATTTGTACTTCTAAGAACAAAGCATGTTGTGTACTTTACCGTTTAGATTTGGATGAAAATATATTACGGGTACGTTTGCCAATATGTGCATATAAACATAATTAAATTGAATTATCGTAAATGTGATGATGGTATACATTATAATCTGCCAAAACTATTCATACATATAGTCATATTTGGTTGTCCTACTTATCAATATGTTAATAGTGTAGCATTATTCTGGGGGTGAATAATCTATCTTATTCAGTAAGGCATGCTCTCAGTTGGGTTTCAATTGCAATTTATCTCCAATATCCTTTCAAAAAGATTGATGGCGACTAAAAATAAGTCTGTAGTTCAGACTTTCGAATGAACACCTCCAGACAATCCCAAACATTACAATTTGAACGCCAAAAGGTGGCGAAATGTTGGGAAAAAAATAAGCCTAAAAACAAATATCTAAGCCTATTGGCATATCACAAAAGTTCTATGCTGTCATGGCGATTGAAAAACAGTACTATAGTTACTTTGGAATCAATCATAGATCATAAACAGTAAGCATTCTCTTGTGGAATAATACACTGTTGAACAAAAAAAAACAAAATCCTTTCGTGGCTCCTCGTAACATAGGAATTTCAGACACACTTCACAGCTAGACCTCCAATCTAAAATACCTTGTATGCAGCCAACAGCATAATATTCTCATGAAAATCCTTCACTGTTGCCTAAGCATTATGAAGGTCACCTCTATATTCATATTTTTTTCATCCACACAATTAGTGATTAATCATCATGTTTCTAGTGCTGATTGACGTCACACTAAACATTACTGTGCCGAGTATTCTGAAGCGCCCACCCTTGAAGGAGAATGCTTCACAAACCAAACAGATGATGTTCGTTCACGTCTGAATACATTCAATGCATTTGTGTCAAAGACTATTATGGGATTTTTTTTACACTAAATCAAGCTTATCACTTAACAGTACTTCTAGCTGACTAGGACATTTTTAAATGTTGTACTAAGTTCCTGATATAATTAACTTGCCTCAGACGTAGAACTTTACATGTTCCCAAACATTATAACTATTTCACTCTTTGAGATTTCACTCTTCCAGTAGACTATTTTCTTCTCTCCCAGTTTCTGGAATTTTACGACATTTTGTCGTCTTTCGCACACTTCAACATCATTAATCTGTCTATGAACTAGCAGACATTTCTATCTAACACAGATTAAATAGGATGGACCATGTCACATTATCTGATATTCTTGGCACGTTAGCATATATGTTGCATTTATGTTGAAAGCGTTTACTATAAAATTTATTTTAAAGTGTAATTCATTATACGAACAACAATTCTTTACAAACACACAGATTCCTTTTTTATTTTTCAGTGTTTTATATAAATGTATCCACTAATATTGTTATTGTTCTCAAAACAGCATGACTGAATTATCCAAAGAAATTCAGGCTTTGAAGATAGGTCTTCAAGAGGTGCAAAAGGTAATTAAATATTATATTATTATGATTTATGTTATTTTGGTTTTATGTTTCTTAAAATATTCTAATTCAGTTCACTTCTCTGAACGTCATATTAGACATTAAGTCAGCGAATGTGACAAATAATTAGAATACCATGTGTTCTTTTAATGTTATACAAATACTACTTGTAATTATTGTACTTCCATTATTGTGTGTCTGGAATAAAGATGTACACTGATAATACGTTACCCATTTTAAAAGTATCTGATTTTCAACATTTCTAGTAGTTTATAATATTTGTCCTACATGTTGTAAAGTCTTGTATTCACTCCAATCTATGAGTAGCTATGAGCATGAGTAGTTAACCAATATATATAGCATCCAAAGGATGCCAGCGCCCGAGGACATGAGGAGAGGGGAGATGAAAGGCTGTCGCTCAATGAGAAGTATTCTTTAAGGGAGGTAGGTTATGTGATCTATGACGCCACAGTTGCAGAGAGTGGTACCAGAGGGCGGGTAGTTCCATAGTGTGCTACTAGGAGCGATGAGATTATGTATGTGGAATGGCAAAAAATGCAGAACGCCATCAAAAGTGCGGCCAATTTTGCGGGTAGGTTTACTTCTATGTAGTTTGCGAGAGAACCACTTGATGACATTGTTTAACGTGTCTGAACACGAACCTCCTGATGGCATTGCTTAACGTGTCTGAACACGAACCTCCTGATGGCATTGCTTAACGTGTCTGAACACGAACCTCCTGATGGCATTGCTTAACGTGTCTGAACACGAACCTCCTGATGTCATTGCTTAACGTGTCTGAACACGAACCTCCTGATGACATTGTTCAACGTGTCTGAATACGAACCTCCTGATGGCATTGCTTAACGTGTCTGAACACGAACCTCCTGATAACATTGCTTAACGTGTCTGAACACGAACCTCCTGACAGCATTGCTTAACGTGTCTGAACACGAACCTCCTGATGGGCATTGCTTAACGTGTCTGAACACGAACCTCCGGATGGCATTGCTTAACGTGTCTGAACACGAACCTCCTGATGGCATTGCTTAACGTGTCTGAACACGAACCTCCTGATGGCATTGCTTAACGTGTCTGAACACGAACCTCCTGATAACATTGCTTAACGTGTCTGAACACGAACCTCCTGATGCCATTGCTTAACGTGTCTGAACACGAACCTCCTGATAGCATTGCTTAACGTGTCTGAACACGAACCTCCTGATGCCATTGCTTAACGTGTCAGAACATGATTGCCAAGTTATAACATGTTGTACAAAATAAACCAAAACAAATACAATTTCATTCTCTCTTGTTTTGAAGAAGATACTAGCTCTATATTATCGTCATATTGAACTTTCTACTTTATATTTTCACTGAAAGTTTAACTTACCAAGTGTTAACTTAAGTAATTCAAATTCTGTATAAATATCAGATAAAAATGTCAACTAAAGTTATATGTCCAAATGAAAACGAACATTACGATAGTGTTTTCGATTCGTCGTTATCTAACAATAACAAAATGTTTGAATAAGTAAGATTAATACTTTGTTTCATCGAGTTTGTTAGAGTTTGACTATTTGTATAGCGTATTTCATGATTTACTAATACTGTTATACTTATATTAGTGTAATTTATAATCTACCTAGTCCTGAAAAGGATTGTTTTCCATATAAATATATATCTGAAACAATCAAACTCTATATATTTATCCTATGTATCATACTTTTTTAAGCAACCATACACTAATGTAATTACAATATACACGGGGCCTAGCATGTTCTACTTTGAGTGATCGTCACCCAAACTGCAGAACGTAGGTTCGAATCCCATCACAGAATATGCTTACCCTTTCAGCCGTGAGGGAATTATAATAGAACGATCAATCCCCATATTCGTTGGTAAAAAGAGTATCCAAAGCATCACATATTTCGTCCATTTTCTCAATATTATAACCCTAACATAAAACATAGTTTGCTTATGATTACATTTAAATCTCGAAGTTCAAAGTCCAATTTTGTTACTTTAATATTTATCCTATCAGTTTTCAATATTGCAATGCGTCTACTCTAATAGAACTCAAGATTAAGAGTAAAAACCAAAATGACATTTTTTGGTACAAATCTTTAATATATATTTCAGCCCACTAGTTTTACTAATACAGTTACCATAAACAGGGCTAGTTTTTGTATTTTAGTCTTGATCTAATAACATAGTGTGCCTAAAAAGACATTAGACCTCAAGATCTGACTTTTCACGTTTCGAAGAAATGTGTTTAATCCCCTCTACATCTTCTACATTATTGTATAAAAACCCTTGTTTTAATCCTTTCACCCAAACTTTTTTAAGTAGATATCACCCTAATTAAACACCATTAATGCATGAAAGTAAATCACTGACTAAATAAGACTTTCCCACATATCGAAACATTTATTGATACAACGGAACTTCGAGTTTCAGAGAGGAGATTATTTTTAAATCAATCGTTTAGAATTTATACTTAGTGGTTTATAGTAAACTTGAAATATGGGAAAATGAAAAATATCCACATTTACCAAGTTACCGAAGAAAAAGAGAAAGGGACAGTTTGATAATTAATGATATATACTTTTTAACATTTATTAACACATAGATCGACGAAAGCGATGCTGGTAAACATTAAGTAATTATTGTTCTCTCTCTAAACTAGGCCTAAACAAAATAACAGCTGTACTATACAGCCAGATTACTGGGCTTAAGAATGAAATTCAGGCTATATAGGTTATAATAGATTGAATATTTGTTAACAGCTGTATAGCCCATTTTTACTTTTATTTTATATGATTCAAGCAAAATTATCTTGAGTTGCAACGTTACAGGTATAAATTATCACGAAGCAGCCCTCTTCAGTACTACGCAGATTGTTAATTAAAGTTCTGTATGGATGCATTAATATCTAATGTTTGAATGTTATATGTATAAATTTATATAGAAAATGGTCCTTTTCAAGACTGTGTAGATTGTACATTAAACTTATACATGTATTATAATATTAGCAAATCATGAAATACGCTAAAAATATTCAAACTTCAATAAATTGAATATAAGATATTCATATTAACTTTCCGTATTGTTTAAGTAAAAGTATAACTAGAAATCTAACCATAAAGATAGTACAGAACTAATATTGGGTTAAGAATTGTAAAAATAAAACAGTAGTTTTTTAGGTTTTGTATAACAATAACACAACTTGACCAAATTCAGATAGGCTTAACATCACCATCTAGTGGTTCACTCGCAAACTACATTACAAAACATGTATCCGCAAAATTAGCCGTACATCTGATGACGCTCTGTAGTTTTTGCCACTCAACATAGATAACCACATCGCCCCTAGTAGCAAACTGTGGAAATGTCCGCCCTCTGGCGTCATCCTGTGAAACTTTGGCGTTATAAATTTCAAATGATACCAACGCACTTTCATCTCCCCTTTCTTTGTGCCCTCAAGCGCTAACATCTTTCGGTTGCCATATGAACTGGTTAACTATTACCATGCTGGATGAATCATGTTACATGTTCTAGGAATGTTCCAGATACTTTTGGCAGGGCAGAGTGCACAACACTTCGTATAGTCACATTTAGTGCAGTTGTTTTCAACAGAAATGATGCTAACATTCATGTACTGAACTTATAAGAAAAATAAAATTCCAAACGATGTTTATACCAATATTTTTCATTTTTTCGCAGAGCTGAGAGAGTGTAACTTTCCAAAATAGATATTTTATTGCAACTTCCATGAAATGTCTTATAATTTATTCAACGATTCATTTCTTATTTTATAATTCTGTGTAACGAGAGAAACAAAACTAATATGTTTGTTCTTGTGAACTTCCAAAACTTCTGTAATGAGAAAGTTCTACATGTTCCTAAAATACATAAAACGCGATTAATTATTCATATGATTTAATGTTGTGCAAAGATCATATTTCTTACCTCGTTATTGTTATTTCGTAGGAGTTGGAATTTTATCGATCACATAAACAACAACCTGGAGATAAATTCGTTCCTGTCATGAGGGAATTTATCACCAGCGCCACCTATAAGTTTTCAGAGCTAGAGGACACCTACCAGGACATGAAGCAACGGGTATGTTCTGAACGTTTAAATACTAACAAAATGATAAATTACGGAAAAATCTCCTCCACAATGAAAAATGTAATTATATTTCTATTAAACTGTTTATGTTTCAAAATTGTTTTATTTTTTAAAGGATAATTTCCTAAAAATCTTTCTAAAATTTATTACTTTCCTTTTTCTCTGTTTTTTTCTAGTATGAAAGAGTGGTTCGGTTATATGGAGAAGATCCAGCTCAGATGCAACCTGATGAATTCTTCGCTATCTTTGATACCTTTTTAACATCTTATAATGAAGCTCGTCAAGAATGTGATAACTTAAAAAAGAAACGAGAAAGTGAAGAAAAGAGAACGAAACAAGAAGCAGAGGTATAACAAGAGGCTTGCTTTGTTATATAATGTTTAGAAGTGACCAAGGTCGTTGGCTATTTTACTAAGGAGTATATAAAGGAAAGAAAAGACCAAAATCGTATCATATATTTGCTTTACTAATGTATACTCGTAGTAGTGGTCAAGGCCACGTCATAATCCCTGTTAGCCATACTAATGTATGTATATATATATATATATATAAACACGTAGGTTCCAGAAGTCTTCCTGTTAACTTTACTAATGTATACACATAGCAGTGGACAAGGCCACGTCATAATCCCTGTTAGCCTTACTAATGTATGTATGTATATATATATATATATTATATATTTTTTTATATTACTTTCCTGCATGAGTTCTTTTCAAATAATGATTACAGTGTGTCTTGAGTTGATGTAAAACAAAAATACGTGAATTCCATCCGAAAAAAAAAGCTTGAGTTAAAAAACAACACAAATTATATTTTAGCTCAAACAGAAAGCGATATTTCATAAACACAGCAAAAATAAAGCAACTTGACATTACTGTTATCACTTTACTCGTATGCTGTAAAAGTGAATTTACATTAAGCTCAGCTCTAAATTCACTACATCAAATTTTGCTCTTTGTAACTCAGTGTCGATTTTTAGGCACGGAATTTTGAAGACAGGAGTATGTATAGTGTTAACCGTTTTCGTAAAGCAAGAGAAAGCTTAATTCCAGCACGAAAAAAAAAGCAACAACAACAAGAAAAAAGAAATATGTTAGTCCACAACTGACTACCAGTCGCACGCACACATGAGGTAGTGAAGATAGTTAAAACTGCTTGTCGCCGGAGGTAACCCAAGAACATAGCGGTCGGTCTATTCCAGCTAAAATAGGAATCACACTTGAAAAATAAACAAAATGAGTCGCGCAAATTTAGGGCTAAAAGCTTGTCACAAAGCGCATAGCTGAAGTGAAGTCCAGCTGTCAAACACTGCATCAGCACCATCTGGCATGTGACAAATGAAAGCATGTCGTTGCTTTAGACGAAGCACGTGTCTACAGGCTAAATATCTGCAAAGATCCGAGCAATTTAAAAGCGTTCTACCAGTGACACAACATTTCAAGAAATATGTACTGAGCATGTTGCTAAAAATTTTCAAAGGATTTACAGTGGGGCAGGTTACAGCAATTGATGGTAAGCTAAGTATTTGGAGAGTCGAGACAAACGCCAAGGTGAGTCCTGTAAACTATCAAGCTAACGTGTTGAAACCGCTGTACCGCGAGGAAATATCATTTTTGTAACAATAAGGTATGACTTCATCAAGAGAAAACATCCAACCATAAGTCAAAACCAACATGTTGGTTCCACTGCAAGATGCACGAAGAACAAACAAGAATTTGTGCTATAACATTTGTGGATTGTTTAAGTGGGCCTTTGAAAGTTGTCAATCAAGCACTGTTGATGGATTTCGGAAAATATATAATTAGTTTGCAGTTAAGCACAGAGGTCTAATTGTGCTCTGCCCACCACGGGTGTCAAAACCCGGTTTCTAGCGTTTTAAATCCGCAGATATACCGCTGTGCCACTGGGGAGCAAGGACAACCAAAACATTATCCAGTAGTGGGCAGCATTACTGCATATATAAGGGCAGGACAGAGTATGCCATCCGTGACAGAAGAAAAGGCTATGAAGTCTATAATCATTGTACCAGCATTGCGGTATATGCATGTCGACTTTAGTACTATATGCATGTTTTAATAACCAACAGTACTGTAACTCTTAACATTAATATATACATATGTGTGTGTTAACAACAAACATTAATTTTTATGTATGTTTTAACTTAAATATAGTCTGTTTGCTGTAATGACCGATACTGCTTTATCTCTTCTTTGTTTCAAGATTTACGTGCAAGGCTGCAGTAAGAGCTACACGTAACTGTCCCTAATTGTGTACTGACAGACCAGAAATATAGGCTTCTAGTCAACATTACACACCATCAACTCTTGAGCTTCTCTTTGTCTGACCCACACGGCTCAAAAGTACGGAACGCGTCTTGCAGACTATGTATATGTTAACTTCAGTAACGTTTGTCAATTGCAATAATTATCATGCATTTTTTAGTCTTATAACGTCTTTATGTATCACTTTCCGGTATACTGATGTACGTATTAGGCTTAATAACGTCTGTGAGTAATAACAAGTAATATCACTCTATCTTTAACCTTTAGGTTTGTACATAACACTGACCAGCATTGCTGTATTTGTTACCTTAAGTAATGCATGTACGTAATAGCGACCAATACTGTTCGATCTGCATGTCAACTTTAATAACATTGGTCTGTCTTCTTCAAGTATGAACGTTTAGTATATTCCACAAATAAATCATTTCATTATGCTTACAAATCGTTGTTTACGTATTTATTATCATACTAGCAAAATGTGCTTTCTCACTTAAGTTGCTGTATTTGTTAGTACTATTAACGTCCGTATGTATGAGAAATTTTACTTTTTTCATATTAACCTAATTAATATATGTTTGCATTATTGACCACGTTACTATATCTGTTAGCTCTTACCCCTTAGTCACGTTTATATTCTATAATGTAAAAATGCCTAGAAGTCGCAAGATCGAAACCCGTCATCAAACGTGCTTGTCTTTTCAGCCGTGGAGGCGTTATAATGTGACGTTCAATCCCACTAGTCGTTGGTAAAAGAGTAGCCCAAGAGTTAGTGGTGGGTGGTGCTCACTAGCTGCCTTCCCTCTAGTGTATCACTGCTCAATTAGGGAATCCTAGTGCAGAGTAGCATTACATGAAATTAAACAAACAAGTATATTGAATCCACCCACCATCATGAAGCCATCCAGGAGAATAATGAAAAAAACATATGCCAATAAAATCGGGGAATACAATTAATATAGTTCATTGTGTACAGATGGTGTAAGACTAGAGGGAAGAAAGCTAGTCATCACCACCTAACGCTAACTCTTGGGCTACTCTACAACGAATAGTGGGATTGACCGTAACATTATAACGCCCTCACGGCTGAAAGAGCGAGCATGTTTGATGGGATGGGGATTCGAACCTGCTACACTCAGATTGCGAGTCCAGCGCCCTAACCACCTTGCCATGCCTGGCATGTGTACAGACGGAGCGCACCCTAGAATTTTCATCTAACAGTTTTAATATAGTGGATATAGCTAAGAATGAGGTGCAATGGCGGATATTTCATCTGAAGCCAGACTGAAATCATGAGATTTTGTCATATTCTTTTCTCTAGAATTTCTGAGCTTTTTCTTAAAAAACAACAATAATTATTGTCATATTTAAATATCGTCTAGCTGAAACTATATACTGTATGTGCAGCTTTACAGCTTTTATTTTTAGTGCCAGAATTGTAAGTCTATCTTCGTTTTTTGAGCTCCACTAACACTAATTGTAATAACTATGTCCATCATAACATTTCTGGCAATTCTGTGCATTGATAAATAATACAAAATTATCATTTTCAAGCACTATTGGGGTAGATATTATTATATAAATAAAGTGATTGCACAAAAAAAATCATCTTTCCACCAGTGACTCTAGGATTTAGCATTGTACTTTCTGCAACGTCTAGCAGCGAGCTTTCTAGGGGTACTGTTAATTTTGAGTAATAATATTTATTTTTAGGCCTATCTTACTTTGATACATTTACGATTATTTACTTTTAGTTTGTCTTTCAGAGTCGAATTACCAAGGCTATATTTGTTCTCGGGACAAATGGTACTTAATCTAAGCGCTTCCCGCTTGAGTGATTTAATTCCAACGTTTTTGGGTTTTGTTTTTACAAGATTGTTTAGTTTAATGATTTTATTACTTATTTTGAATCATCTATTATATTATGGTATACACAAATTTATTATTGTATAGAAACTGGAAGTGTAGAAACCAATTAACTCAGTTTACTAAACTTCGTCTTTTACTGTGAGGAACAATAACAATTTTTATGTTGATTTTTTTACTATTTAGAATTTGCAAAACAAAAAAGGAATAATCTAAATAACTACAACAGTTTGACATCTAGAAGTTTTTAGAAAATTGTAGATATTTATACATGTTGAAAATATTATATGAAACAAGAAGTACAATGAAGTCAATATCGTAAAATGTCTTTACAGCCAGGCTTACGGGTGTTTTGGTAATGAGGATTTATTACTTTTTCTTTGACCATTGCAGTTGAAGAAGAAAGAAAAACCTGGGAAAGAAATAAGCAACAAGACAGTAAATGGATTGAAGAATGGCAGCATCAATGGTATTCGTACCATTCATGGAACTTCAGATAAAGGGGAATTCGACGACTTGATTTCTGCTCTCCGAACTGGAGATGTATTTGGAGATGACTTGGCTAAGTTTCGCCGTAACAAGCGACGTGGCAGTCAACAGCATGCATCGACTCTTGGAAGTGAAATAAGCCAGAGAAGAAGTTCGCTTAGGGACTCGAGTAGAGAAAGGATCTCTTCGCCAGTGCGTACAATGAAAGCTTAACAGTAAGATATATTGTGGCTATTGTTTTAACACAACAAGTACGAGTGAAAAAGGAACGCACAAGTTATGAAAAAGGTGTCCAATATCTTACCATAAGGCCATTGAAAAGAGAGAATCGCCAGTTTTCAAACCTTCTTCTTTTACATTATAGAAAGAAGAGGGATGGACCTCCTGGAATATGGCAACTGTTGGACCAATATATATCCTTTACCTCGTGTTGTAGGATGAGTGTATAGATGTTGCTTTAGAAACGTATATTTGTCCAACATATAACACCCTTATTAACAGTGTGTAAATGTTTGGCAGAGCAACTTGATATTCTGCTGGCCTAAAACCAGTCATTTCTATAATATTTATTATACCTGCATGATAATGATATCTATGTTAAGTATGTCTGGAAATGAATTACATACCAAGTACACAGATGAGAGGCTGATTTAAGTTTAGTGGCGGCTACTTGCGTCTTTAATGCACACTAGCTTGTTCTAAACTCGTGGTTCCAGTTGTTAAATACCATGTTTGTGAACATTATTTCTAAATGAAGTTCTTTCAGTAACAAAAGCAAATTATTTTATCAAGCTGTAAATCAGAAAGTATTAAAAGGGGCGGGCATCCTTCTTCCGATCTTAAATTCAACACTAATTCCGGTAAAATGTATTAGCGTCGACAAAAAAAACCTCAAGTTTCCTATGCTTTAAATAGTTATAAATTCTTTTTGTTCTCAAACAATGAATCGTGATGAAAATGTTTAATAGCAAACACTTTACCCTAGAAAAGTTAAGGTCACGTGCGCTTATTAATCGGATTTGTTTGATATTCTATTAACATTCTCTGTTGGTTATATACAAATAATTTTAATTATTTGAACATTTTTACAGCTCCTCAAGCTTCGGATTGGTAAAGTTTTACTTAATTTATAAACTACATTACAATGCCAAAATAATATTTTATTCTTTCACTATCGAACAGAATTGAGAAACTAATATTTTTGAAGTAAACATGGTTGCCTTTGATACACATTTATAAGTAAGATGCAAAAGAATTATTTTTATTTAACTACAGTTCAGTAAAAAGTCACTATACTTGTACACAAATCTTTTCTTAGTTTCTTTTGCTGGAACTTTTACTTAGAATTGCGAAGAACAGTTGATCGAGGAAATTGTCCAACATTTCACGAGTTACTGAAACATTCCTAGTTCATTTCAAAAGCACTTATACGTGCTTGTGTTCATCCACACCTAGTAATTTTCTCACCAGATTTGATACTAATGAAGAAAAGGTGTTAGTGCAATCGAAAGCAAATTATGAGATATGTGTTTAAATATTAATAGATGGCGCTAAATATGATGGACCAAAACGGTTGTATTCTAGGATTTAATATAGTGTACGTTTGTTAGTACATTAGGCACACCAATGCTAAGTAAGTCGTATAGAAATATTCACGGATAACATCCTCCATACTTAAGTAATTGCTGTTCTCAGTGCCATATTACAAAAAATCCATTTGTAGTTAACATTGTACAGTTGCTTTCCAATTGTGCATCCAACCATCATAATGGCGCTAAAATGAAACAGAAAATCCTGAATATTTGTATAATCTAACATAGAAAGAATTAAAATTGGAAATAGGTTCGTTGATTCTATATAACTGTACTAGATGGCGTTTACATACTTTTTTGAAGAAACAATGTTTAACTTATTTCACGATTATGAAAAAGCCGAATATTTTTAAGGCGTTTCTTATAACAATAAGAACACATTCGGCAAACAACTCACCAACTATTAACTATACCATCTTTATTAATCAGAGTACAGCAATACCCAAAGTAATTATCAACAACGTAACAATATTTTTTTTTTGAACAATTAAAATATTTATAAAGCATGGTCATAATCAAATTGAGAGGTATTAAGATTTGACTGATGCAACATGATTTGAGTTGTATTCAATTTTAGCACGCCGTTGATAAAATGGCGAAGTGCGCCTCCTATCACCATTTATTTGTAATAATCGTAGAAAAAATATATATATATTTCAACGGAAAGCTACACACAATGGGTTATGCGCTGCGGGTAAATTCTCTATCTGAGTAGTATCCAAATGGCTCATGACAATTACATGAAATATTACAACTCAAACTTGGATAAAAGTTAACTACATCATTGAATGGTAAGCTCTGTAATTTGCGTCTACACGGGCTATGCCAATTCACATATCAATTGAATATTACGCTTGGAATATTGGAAAGCTTCACTGCCACACTCCGACATTGCTTCGCATATTACCACTGTTAATAAACGTTACATTTCCCCCTTGTTTAGAAAAGACTTACCGTAATAAACAAAAAACGCCGAATTCCCTTGAAACATTAATTGCCACCCCAGTATAAATGGTGATAAATATACTAGAGTAAAATTTGATATTAACGAAAGATGCTGTCAGTAACTCAGAAGTTGTCTAAACTTTCAATTTAACAACTGAATCCAAACGTATATGGAAAATATAAAACCTTTGAAGTAATGAGATGTTTGGCACTTCATAAAACTGTAGCGTATTTTTGCCAACTAGTTGTATGTGCAAAATGCTGAATATTTCTATTACATTTAATAACTGTCCTGTGCATATCCGCTTTTTGTGCTTTATTATTTATACCCTTTTTTAGTGATATGCAAAAACTTGTACAATGTAAAATATCTTAGTATTATTAAGGGTATGACCATATATAGTTTCTGTTTCTGCAAATGTGATAAAGCCTTATGTATATAAGTTATATACAATATTAAAGCTTAGCTTGCTTATCTAGTCACGATTTTGTAATTATCCTTCAGTATTGATTAGATATTTCTTTTTCTTATATTTTTCTGATATTTGCAAGCATAACGTGCTTTTTTTGTACAAGTAAGATTTTTTAGGTAAATCAAACCAAGGTTTGAAAAAAAAAAGTTATTGGTAGTTCAAATACCATGTATTTTAAATTGTATTTTCTTTTAATGTACAAAACTTATTTGAAGTAAAGACACCTTCTGTCAACCTAAGTGAACTTGCTATAGGTGGAAATAAATAGCACTATAAGTATACACTGCTACTGTTGTTTAAAACTTGTCAAAAGATAATGGCCTGGAAATCAATAAACATGTAACTCGTGGTTAGATCGTAAATATATGTGTGTGTGTCTCTGTGTGTGTTACTTTGGTCGATAGGACGTTTCATTTAAACATTATAAGTACCTATCATGCTCATACAAAAACAGTAGGCTTTATCTGAAACTTAATACTTCATTATCTTTCATGACCCTGATAGGAAATAAAAAGTATATTTTTTTGGAAGAATTAAAGTATTTCTGAACAATGACATCATTTTTATGATATTCAGATATTAAGATGTAATTTGGCAAGCTCCTATCAGAACTTCTAAAAATTACACTTTTGCTTTCTGCTGTTTTTGTTTGTTTGTTTTTTGGATTTTGCGCAAAGCTACACGAGGGCTATCTGTGCTAGCCGTCCCTAATTTTGCAGTGTAAGACTAGATAGAAGGCAGCTAGTCATCACCGTCCACCGCCAACTCTTGGGCTACTCTTTTACTAACGAATAGTGGGATTGGCCGTCACTTTATAACGCCCCCACGGCTGAAAGGGCGAGCATGTTTGGCGGGATGGGGATTTGAGTCAGATTGCGAGTCGAGTGCCCTAACCACCTGGCCATGCCGGTTCACTTCCTGCTGGAAATTTCAAGTTTTCTACAGATCTGTGTTAGATAAGTAAAAGCAATACCAAAAGTCAAATTCTGACTCATCCGTATGTTTCTTGCCTGACGTTAAATTAGTCTCATGTTCATTCTGGGCACAATCTTATAATCTGAAGTCTAATGTAAAGCAACTTGTGTCTAAAGACTTCTATGTGAGTAACAGTTTTGCATGGCATTTTGTATTTTAAGAAAAAAGAAATTCTAACCCTGACCTTAATGTTTGTACATCGAATACTATTAATACCTATATTGATAGTACTCATTCAGGTTTGTTTTCTAACCCTGACCTTAATGTTTGTACGTCGAATACTATTAATACCTATATTGATAGTATTCATTCAGGTTTGTTTTCAAACAAATCCTTGAGTGTCTTACAACTTTTTTATCATTATTATTATTTTTTGATCTAAATATGTTAAAGGAAGACCATTTATTTTCATTTGTTTTTAACAGAAAATTTAAAAGTTGTTTCATCAAGCTTTAAAGTTAAAAACAGGTGAGAACTTTTAATTTGAACCATTTCCCTCTTGCATTGATTAGATTTGGAGAAGAGATCAAACTTTTGTAGTCACCTCCTCCTCCACCTCCTAACAAGTTTCTTTTTTCATTCCTTATTGAGTCTTGAAAACTCTATCTTATAAGGAGAATAAACACATTGGAATTAAAAGTTTAAAGAACATTAAAATGTGGTTTATTAAAACTTTCAGATTCATTTAAAACATTCAATACAAGTGAAAAACACTGAACAGTCATATAGACACCTTTTTTCTTATCAGTTTTTAAATCGTGAAGTTTTAAACTGTCGTTTGTGTTGAAAGAGTGCAACTCCATATAAATATTATATCGCTCTATTGCTTTCTCCTTTTTTCTTACATTTTATGTACATTTCCAATTCAAATATTATCATAATTCTAACTGTTAGTAACACTCTTTATTTTAAACTTAACATACGTAGAAACTTTACTGCCAATATCATATTAAAAAAAGCTCTTATCTCTTATTGTAATTTTTGAGCAGACCTATTTTTTCCTATTGTTTGCATACAAAAAAAGAAAAGCGATTCAGAAGACAAAGCTGAAACTGGCTTTTACATTCAGTACCGACAGTAAATCTTCATGATCAATGGGTTCTCCATCAGATTTTTGTAACTAAAGATAAAATAGGTTATCCTGGTAACAACTGTTTAAAAAAAATTTAATGCAAAACATATTTTACTCAGTTCTGAGATGTTGAACAAAATTTGATAATCAGTACTGAAATATGACATTAGAGAGGAGGTTTGAATCTTTAAAGTGATTCAGACTGCCTCTCTGTCATATTTCAATCCGATTCCAACTGAAGTCATCATTCAATGTCTTCGGGTCGAACTGGATGAGGTAATGGAATCACTGACTTTTTATGGACATCCCGAGAAAGTGCTTTTCGCATATCTGTCAAAGAAAAAAACATTTTTAAGCTGTTGTTAAACCAAAAAAGAAATAAATCACTGCCTAACAGCTGATAAATGATACAAATGCTCTGACCAGTTTTAATTTAAATGGTGATAAAATCTTATCACCAAATCTTATGACAAAGAAAATACATCCACAGAAACTATAACAGTGATATCTGTACATCCAGCTAATATCTTATTTGATCAGAGGACTCTGTAGTGGTATATCTTTTATATAAATAAATTGTTATAATTAATCAGAACTGATAATGTTCTTAACTGAAATAGATACATTCCCATACATTTAAAATTCAACACAGGTCACAAATTGTATAAACATAAAAACAGACCTGCAATACACCAACCACAGCGAGACTAATTTTTTTGCATGTTTTACCTAGATTAATATAAATTCTCCCAAATCCAACAGCATGAGAAGAAAGGCAGAAATAGTTATAGACTAGACATCCCTTTTAATTATATCTTAATACTATATTATTAATTTCAAACATAACACTGTGCCTCCACTATAACCTTCAGCACACACTGAAATGGAGTTAGTACAATGTCCCCTATATGTAAAAATTACTATGCTTCTTTGTATGATATCTACAGGTGTATGTCCTTTCTCAGAGATTGACCCAAACTTAACAACGTTTAAGAAAATAAACTAATGTCCAGGAGGTAATGAAAAACAAACAAACAGACAACAAAGAAGATGGGAAATTCCAAGTGAGGTAGAACTTTTAAATATTCTATAATCCATGAGTCAGACTCCAAAAGTCAATAAATCTGATCAACTTCACACCACTAGTCCCATTTTTAAACCAATTAGACATCTTGAATGGTCCAATACATAGGAAATGAGTAACCCTAAATGGCAACCAGAAGGATACTTAATGAGTTAAAGAGAGCAATCCTTAAAATTGGAGTTCCAATCAAAAGATGTCAACACATCAACAGATGAATATGAAGGAAGGCCAGAATTTCTATCAGGCAGCTTTCTGAGACCATGGTTCTAAAAATCATTTAAAAAACATAGACAATTTGTTCTTGAATGAAATATAAAATCTGTTAAAAATGCCTCATTAATAAGATGATAAAAGGGAGCCCAAAGAAGAAAATATATAACAGCTTAGATGAGAAAATATCATCATAAGTGTACTAAATCAGACAGTCATTGATAATAAATGTGTGTCTCTAAAGTATATGCCAAAGAAAAAGGAAAGGAACCTTTAAACTGGGAATGAAATAAACATAGAATCATACAGTCAACAAAAAAACCTGAAGAAGAAAATTAAGCAAAGGGAAAAAATTAAGGCAATCAGATGACAAAGGGAACATCATACAAAATACCTGGGTCAAATCTGGATTCACCATGACAAGAATTATCAGTTCATTTATTACATCAAGGAAGAAAATTCTTGTGATAGGCCCACTTTTGCTGTGATGGTCAAGTTCAGAGTCATTAGAGTCCTCCATGGGCAAATGTTTTTATCCTAGTAAAGGGAACAGAGTGACTCAAATCACGATCAAGAAAAATAGGCTGGTTTTTCACTGAACAATCAGTTGAAGAAAGTTCAACAACAAACAAGTTCTGAACTTCCAAAAATGGAATTTGAAAAATATTTAAAGCCAAGTCAATTTAAATGTGTTGAGTTACAGATGCTAAAATGGAAATTCAAGGTTCTTCATAAGTTAAATGAAACTCAGATCTAATAATTAAACAAAAGAAATAAGAGAAACTGAACAATAAAATCAGTTTGAAATTAAATCAGGATACAATACCCACAAAACAAAGAAGGGTCCAGAATTACTCTCACAGCACCAAGACAAACGTTGAAGAAATGTGTGTGAACTGCAGAAAGTGCCAATAAAAAACATGACCATACTGATTCTCACGCATGACAGAAGATCACTAGCACGGAGATTATATTAATAGAAAGAACGAGATACATGCAATATTATCACATATATAATTAGATTTGACTGACGGAGGAGAAAGCAAGAATAATAATGAAAAACTCTAATTCTTGGAAAGGACAAGAATTCAAAGTTAAAGTATTTTATCATATTTGAGCAACAAATTTAATAGTTAAAAAACTTAATTATGAAATCATACCAAATGCATCTTCATCAGGATCTCCAGAATAATACTCCAGAACTCGTCGATACACTCTATATCCTAGCTGTTTGTACATTGCCACAGCAACTTTATTTGAAACTCGAACAAAGAGATCTACAAAGTATGCTCTTTTTCTAATAACAAATAAGAAACAAGGAAGAAAAAAACTATTAATAAAGAAAACTTAAAACTAATACTTTCTATATTACACTTCAGTTTAGGCTATGTGTGTCAAAATGGAATTTGAAAAAGATTTAAAGCCCAGTCAGTATAAATGGGTTGAGTTACAGATGCTAAAATGGAAAGTCAAGGTTCTTCATATAAAAGAACTGTTATCAGCTTCAAATAATTCATTATGAAAACAAGTACTAAGACATACTTGCTTCACATTACATTCATGGGCTTAATTAAAATTATATGAAAGTCATGCTTAAAGTTTCAGTGAAACAAATGCTAGAAGATGACGAATAATCTGGTTAAGGCCTCAATTAACAAACAAAACTTGGCTATGATGGGTTCATAATATGCAACTGTACTTAACATTTATATATACACTATATTCTATATAAAACAAAATACTACTTGAACGTCAAATAATGATATTCTTTCAACTTCCAGAAATGTGAAATATGCAATTTATAAAGATCTGATAAAAAAAACAACGAAAGTTATAAAATCCCATGTTTCTAATAATAAAAGGATGTTTGTTTGTTAAGCACAAAGCTACACAATGGGCTGTATGTGCTGTGCTCATCACGGGTTATCGAAAACCAGTTTTTAGCATTATATGCCATTCAGATTAACCACTGAGCCACGAGAGGGTAAAATAATAAATAAAACACGATTGATTAAGAACAAGGTGAGATGCTAAAAAAACATTATAAAATTGGTACTGCTATGCATTTTCATGGAAATCAGTAACAAAACATAGGGTCACTATATTTTCCTGTAAAGTTGGATTCATTAATATTATTTGCACTTACGAAAATTATTTAACATGCTGTTATTAACAAGAATAATGATGCAATAATTACAGAACATTTTATAACTTTATACACAATGGTTGGGATTATAAGGGAATCCAGTAGTGATAAAGAAAAGTTTCTTGAAATGAGTTGGGACAGTTTTGTTTTATAACAAATGGTTGAGAAACCACCCGGAAAAAATGCTGTTAACCACTAATGAAGAAACAGTTAAAGAAGTTGAACTGAGGGAAAATTTGGGTGAAATAATAATCACTGAGGAAGAAAAGTCTCCTGAAATGATTCGGGACAGTTTTCTATAACAAATGGTTGAGGAATCAACCAGAAAGAATGCTATTTTAAATTTTCTGTTAACCACTAATGAGGATATGGTTTCAGAAGTTGAACTGAGCGAAATTTTTTTTTGGGGGGGAGGAGGGGATAATAATCCCCGAGGAAGAAAATTTCCTTGAAATGATTTGGGACAGCTTTCTATAACAAATGGTTGAGGAATCAACCAGAAAGAATGCTGTAAACCACTTTGATAATAAGTAAAAAGATTATAAGATTACAAATTGATAAAATACCTGGAGAAGACATTTTCAAAGATCGGATATGTGAGCGTCTCTTATATTCTTGGTATGCCAATAGAGAGTGGGTAGGTGTCTGATGATTAGAGAGTTGTTAATGTTAATTTATTTTAAAATAAGCAATAAGAATTCAATAGTTCCCCTAAAAATTATAGTCTAGTTAGTCTTGATTCTATAACGAGAAAAATTCTAGACAGTCTGATAAAAGGTGATTTACAAAACCATTTAGTGAAATATGATATCATAAAAGAAAATAAACACGAATTCCCTGAAGAGAAATCTTGACTTCCTAATCTGTTAAATTTTTTAAGGATGTAACTTTATATATATATATATATATAATGAAAAGATGTGGACTTGGTGTACTTGGATTTTCTTTTGATAAGGTACCACACAAAAGATTAGCTAAGAAAATCACATCGCATGGAGTTGTAGAAAGATAAGTTACTTCAATTGAAGAATGGATAGGTGAGAAAAGTCAGAAATTTGATTTTAATGAAATCCAATCAAATTGAGCATTTGTTACTAGTGGCTGCCCTCCAGTGGCACAGTGGTATGTCTACAGACTTACAACACTAGAAACCAGAGCACAGATAGTCCATTGTGTAGCTTTGTGCTTAACTTTAAACAAATAGTAGTGACAATAAGATGAGAGAAGTAAAGTTTAAGATTTGGAAAAGTTTAATGTTTCGAACAGGGTGATTGGTTTAGGGAATTAGTTGCTGTCAGCAGTGGTGGAAGCCAGTATCTTACAACAGTTTAAAATGACAATCAATGATTTCCTGAAAAATAAATGGTGGGTTTCATTTTTATTTTTCTTAAGGGATAGGGACAGCATGAAGGACCAAGTAATCTCTTGTTGTCCTACCATTATGTTATGCTAGACTAATTTTCTTTCATACTTCTCTGATATTTCTTCCAGACCAGCCATTAATGTTGCTGCCAGGCCCAATCTTCTGTACTCTGGAGCAATAGTGAGGGCTGTCACATGTCCATGCCAATTTTCTCCAGGTCCTTCTGCTTTTCCCATTACTGAAAACAAAAACATGATATTTAAAATTAGGTCAACATTAACAGACAATACTATATCTGATGTTCAGTGTTTTCGAGCTACTGTAGAATACTGACTTATCAGAACCTTTTCTTTATTCCATAAACTGTGTATACATTAGAGTACAAAACAAGTATCCTATCTCCTTGAATTTACATTGATACATGCATATCAACAAAAATACAAATTACTTTGTTTGAATATCTCACTTGATACAATGTAAATGTAGGCAGGCCTAAAGCTGAAATACTTCATGCTTAAAATAACTTTGGGACATAGCTTAGTGTTTTTTTATTATAGAAACATTCCTTTTATATCTGAGAACACTTATAATTGGCTCATTTCTTTGACATCAAACAAGTACACGTACCCTACAAATACATACACACACAGGCAATAAAAGAAAGTCACTCACTACATAAGCAACCATACTAATTTGATTAAATCTTATGCATTTATGTCTGTAAGCAGCATAGCCTGGGACACTTACAGGGGAAAAAAACATTTACATCACATCAAAATATTAAAATTACAAATTTAAGAACTTGAATAATCTATTACTTACACCCAGGTTTCTTGCAATACTATATTTTTCTTTTACTGAGAAGTAGAATTGGCACCAATCCACTTAGATTGATTTACATTGTAGGTGATTACAAATAAGAAGTGAGAATATGCTAACACCAGTTAAATTAATTACTCTAACACTGAGCTACTAAAAATGTTATTTTAACTAACCTTATTAGACAAGTTAACATACTCTCTCAAAACATCTATGATTTGGAAACAATGCAAGATGGTGTAACAGAGCAATATTGAATAACCTACAAGCATATTTTATAAAAGAGACAGGGGCTGCTCAATCAGCGTTCATTATTTTTTAGATGTTTGAACTAATATTTCTTATTGACAGTATACATGAAAATACTAAAAAGCCATAAAAATAAAAATCAACATAAGACTATCTTATGGTTGTATCTTCATTATAATTAAGCATCAATTGCAGAAAGGTTTAAACCCATTAACTAATATCTTTACTGTAATAATAAAGACAAATAGAGGTTGTGTATTAAACTTGTACAAGTATTAGTAACTTACTATTAATTGATAACTTTCATTACCATACTACTTGATATTGTTGTGTTCATTCAACAGTTAGCAATAACAACAATAAATGAACAATTAACATTTATGGGAGTATTACTTACTGTAACCCATTATATCACCATTTGGAGCTTCTGCAACTTGAAAATATTCTGGCCAGTGAGCAAGATATTGAAGATAAAAGGATAAACCATACTGGGATTCAGTTAAGTGATTTCCTAAGTTGACAAGATCAAGAAATCACCTGGTGGTAAGGCTCTATTAAACACGAGAAATGTGGTTTATTCCCAATAAATGATAAGAGTAGCTTATGAATTTGATACTACAAAAAAAGTAAAAACTAAGCCTGAAAAGGTTAATTACTTAAAACAGGATTTACATCTTGATTAATTACATATCCTAATTACATTCACATTACAAGCACAACAGTAGAGTAACTACCAAAAAGAAACATGTATAGCTATCATACAATGTGTGTATGTATGCATACATACACACACACACACATACATATAATATATATATATATATATATATACAGAGAGAGATAGAGGGTTGGGTACAGTCAGACAATGGAATGTACTAGATGCAAATTTTGACATTGTTTGGCATTTTGTATAAAGTATGCGCTGAAAATTGATCACTTTTAAAATGGTATGTAACAATCCTTTCTGATGCAAAATATTCATATACTCAGATCACAATGATGTGCCCAGATTGGAGATTTATAACTTTCAAGACAGAGATATCTTTTGTATTTAACAGTACTAGAAAATAAAGCAATATGGATCAACTTGGGACCCAGGACCATCCTAAAAGAGACTTGAAACAAGTCTTACCCTAGCATTGTTTGGCATCTTGTAATATGTGAAAATCAAAGAACACAGAAGTCAGTATTGAAAGTTATCCACATGGCTCAGGCAACAGTACAGAACAAAAGCAAGAAGGACCTCTATCTAGAAAAGCAACACAAGTCATATATACATATGTTGCTTCCATGGCACATAAATTCAACCACTGCATACCTCAAAAAACAGTTTGAGAATCAAATGGGTATTAATGCTATTCCATACAAAGATATACCAGTCAAGTTGCAAGATGTATTGCTTATCAATTTCTGTGATCAGATTATTAGATTGTGGATTGGAAAACTGTCATCCTTGTACATTATATGGATTATGGAAAGCCTTTAAGTAGTAGTAGTTTGCTTTGGGCATGATAATCTTGCAACAAAGTCTTTGCCTTGAGAACTACATTGCATGTCTATTGTCAAGATGCACAATCATCAGATAGACTAGATGTGGTAACATGGCCTGTAACATTATGATGAGGCTCCAAAATCATTTAAGTATAACATATTTAACCTGTATATAACCAAAAACAACTATGATCAGAATAGAGTTCAAGTGGACAAATTACAGAACAACAAGCAAGTGATGCAAACAACTGGTAGGTGTGATTTATGGTAATTTAGTTATAATTTTCTGCTTTGCAATAATGCTTATTTACATTTGGTTTTAATGGTGGATGTTATATTGCGCATTACCAGTACAATATTTATATTTGTCATTTAGATTACAATGGGGGATAAGGTTCAAGATCAATAATATATATTTTTGTATCTCCTATCTTTGTACGTTTAGTGTTACAAAGATGATCTGCACACAATATTACAGCAAAGAAAAAATATCATAAAAGCCTTGACTCTTATTTTTAAATGTTTTGGCTTAAAATAATCACACTAAAAAACAAGTCTCTAACATCCTACTAGAGCTGGGCAATTAGTGGTATTTTCTACTCAATTAATTGTCAGACTCATTAATCAATTACCTTCAAGTAATTGATTATTTTCACATGAGACTTGGATAGTTGGAATAACAGAAAATAGCATTAACCAGAAACACTAACTTCGATTAATTCATTATTTTTGCTAGTCTTGACACTAATAGTTTGAGCTGCACAAACTTGAACTGAATAAAAGTAAAAATGAGAAATCATAAATCAATATATTGGAAAGTTGGAATAATTGAAAACAGTAATAATCAAAAACACTAATTAGCTCATTATTACACACTTTATTGATTTAATCATGATTTTGATTAATCAATTATCTTATATGACGCTAATCAATGTAATCTATGCTCATAGCTAATCAGTCAATTGAGTTACATGCACAGCTCTACACCCCACCCTACAATAAATAATGGTACTGTCAGACACTTACACATTTCTTCAATATTTCAAAAAATACCCAAAGGTTTTCGATAAAATATATCTATATTAAGTCTTCAAAAATGTAAACATTTAATATGAACATATGTTGTTGAACATCTTTGGGTATGCTTTTGAATAGAGAACAATACCTGAACAGACTGCCCCCTATACACTATGATGTCAAGACTCAAGATTCAATGATTCAATAGAAACATAGGATGCTGTGCATATTGTATGGCCTAATCTACAATGTATTTAACATTATATCCTTGTAAACAAATGCATATATATATATACACAAAGAAAACCACTACACTATTGATGGTGAAGATTCTTCAGACTAAAATGAACTAAAGCTTATTCCACATTTTGCAATGTGATTTTCCTTTTTCAGGATATTAAACAAACAAAGAACAAGGTAAAATTTCCCAGTCTATGTCACTTTGACAGTCAGTTGGCTTCAAAGCAAACCCACATATTAGTACTTATATTGCCACAATTTTTTTATCCTGACTTAATTTTGTCTAATCTATTCTGACTCATATGAATATATTTAAGCTTTAACATAACAAATGGGGAACAAGCCCTCCTCTGAACCCTTTCCATCAAGTCAATATTCATTTTTAAATAAAGAGGCAAAAATAATACATAGTATTCCAAGATAGACCTAACTCATTATTTTAGAGAAATAATTACCTCTTTTAACTTGTAATCGTTACATCTATAAGCACCACCTAAATTTTTTTTAGCTTGCTATTAGCCACAGAGCACTGTCTTGATGGCTTGAGTAATTTATCCACAACTATTTCAAGATCCTTTTCTTCAGTAATGAAATTCAGTGGATTCCCATCTATATTACTACACAAAAGAAGTATTTTTTTTCAAAATACACATCCACAAAATAAAAACTGTTGTTATACTTAACAGAGAAAGTTTAAGCTCCTGCTCTTCATTAGGTCTGAAATATGAATGAATGGCCATTGAATAAAAAGGAATGCTTTCTTGCGTAAGCATACAACTCAAGGTAAAAAACGTATAAATAAAACAAGACAGAAATATTAAACTAAAATCTTGCGATACAACATAAGCAATATCATGAAGAGCGATTCATATAATCACCTTTAAAAAATAGGCATAGCATGCATAATACTCCAATCTTCAGGCCATTGTCCATTGACTTCAAAAAAAATGAAAGAGAGAGGCTTGCATATTTAATCCTTGACTTCCTTTTAAAACTTTGAACAAAGCATTAACTTATTCTGGTACTTTATTATTTTTAATCTCTCAGTCTTTCTTTATACCAGAAAGGAATTGATATCTCATGGTTTAGGTAAATCCCAATATTTCCCATAGAATGCTCAGAGTTGGGAATATTACTTAAATCCTTTCTTATAAAAACAAACAAGAGGAAAACATTTTAACAGTCAGCTGTTTCATAGTCTTCATGAAAAACCTTGCCATCAGTATCCTTTAAATAGCCCAATCCTCATTTTCATACTTGCTTCCCTTAGGGGTGGTTGAAAGTGGGGAGGGGTAACTGAAGCTACTAAAAATGTGCCCTAGCCTCCACAGTATGTGTCCTTATAAGACCTATCCTCAATTTTTTGTCTAGGCCATCTCAGCCCTCTCACTGCAAATAGATTGGTGCTACCCACAGCTTCTTTTAATGTACTTAAAACATTGCTGTTAGTTTTAACATTACTGACCAACTGTTTTTTATAAGCCCTTTTATACATTTCATACACTATATCTTCTTTTTGTACAGGTAGCTAAGTAAAACTTCTGAAGATGTTAAGAAGTTTAAACTGCCCAGTAGTTTACTGCTGTTTACAACATTCCATTTCCAGACCTATTAATTTATTTCACATATTCTAACTAAAAATATAAATAAAATTCAGACACCCTACTAACTATCTGTTCATAAAAATGGTAAAAACAGAATGAACTAAACTTTTTATTTATTATTGTGCAGTAAAGTTAAACTCAAACCATTTTTTAACTAATGTGATTAAATATTTCCAGGTTATGTCATACACACAAAATAATATTAAGATACAAAACCTAACATTTATTACACTCATACCTATAGGATAAACACACATCATAAAGAAAAACATGTACATGATTAATTCTTCAACATATCTCCATATTTCATACAACTTAAAGGATACTGTCTCTGTTAAAGGATCTAAATTTCTGTAAAGGGGAAAAAAAAATTAACAAAAAACCCAACTTAGTTAAAAACCAAGATTTTTAAATTATTGCAATAAAGAACAAAAATAAAACAAGGTCATATACAGGATAACACTTCTTAAATAATTCAATTTAATTAATTAAAGAGTTCAGAGAAGGGTTACTATAATGGTGCTTGTGATGGAGGGGTTGTCATATGAGGAGAGGCTGAAATCTCTCAAATTGTTTTCTCTTGAAAAAAAGAAGAGTTAGGGGGGGGGGGATCTGATTGAGGTGTTTAAGATTGTAAAAGGAATTGATAGTGTTAATGCATCATCTTTTTTCATATTTAACAGTGAAAATAGTAGCACTAGGGGACACAAATATAAACTATGGCAGGATAGGAGTCATCTTCAGCTAAGGCAGTTTTATTTTTCTACCAGGGTAGTTGGCCTTTGGAATGGGTTTTCTTCGGATGTTGTAGAGCCAGTGAGTTTAAGTATATGAATAATAAAAGCTGGCTTTAACATTATAATTTTTTAATTTATTTATTAACAGTTTTAGTCCAGTTTAAAATATGGAACAGCCAAGATGGACCAATAGGTCCCATGTTGTTCCAAAACATTATGCTATGTTAAATTTCACCTCTTGTATCATATATACAGTGCTTTATCATTATTTTCTTGAAGTGTGAACTCCATAATTCAGCTCCTCCTGAAATTGTATTCCTTAGATATTTAAATATGTCATGCAGTACAGTGTAAAATTTGTTGTTTTTTTCTGTTAAAAACTAATTTTAAGTGCAGAAAACTGTAAATTTGAAATTATGGCATTTGTTTTACTTACATCAGTAGTAGATTATATTTCTTCAAATATTGAAACCGAACAATCATCTACATCAAATCACCTAACAGTTAATAGTGGCAAACATACCAAAATGGCTCTTTATAACAATATATATATGCATATGCAAGAATCTGTTTTTTAAAATAACATCACCTTCTTCAGACATAACTTAAACTTTTAGGACAACAAGTGACCTGTTGGTCCATCTAGGTCAGTGCTTCTCAATCAAGATTCTTCAACAGACATCCAGGTGTTCCATAAAATGCAAGAGTTTTGCATATTCTAATGCGTAAATACATACTAGTCACATAATTGAAATCTGACATCAGATTTTTTTATTAGTATAGCAGGTTTCATAATGACACAACATAACAAGTCACTGCATTGTTTTAAATTGGTGAGCGAGACTTGGTACAAACAGCTACTAATATTGCAGCAATGTTTTTTTTGTAATGAATGTTATGACTGATTTTGTGACACAAATTTGATGACAGAAAAGTTCCGTGGATTCAAAAAAGTTGAGAACCAATGATCTAGGCCATCCCATCCACTAAACTTTAAAATAAAAATAAAACAGTTAAAGCCAGCTCTTATCATTCAAATATTTATCAAGTCTTCCCTTAAACTTACTGCACCCACCATAATTTAGGGCAATCCATTACAAAGGCCAACAACCCTGTTAGAAAAATATAACAGTCTTAGCTGAAGATGACTCCTATCCTGCCAAAATTTATATTTGTGTGCAATAGTCCATTAAGCACAAAAAAAATAATATATCAACACTATCCATTCTCTGGATAATCTTTAACACCTCAATCAAATCCCTTCTAACTCTTCTCTTTGCAAGAGAAAACAATCTCAGAGATCTTAACTTCTCCTCATATGACAACCTTTCCATTCCAGACATCCTACCAGCCCTCCTCTTAACTCCTACAACCAGAAACTAGTTGAATATTAAAGCTGATAATGAATTTTGGACACTGATTTTACCAGCCCTCCTTTATCTATTGGAAGTTTCAAAATATCTAAAATAAGCATATGAATATATATGTACTATTATAATTACATTTTCTATTGAAACTACACATGAAACAGGATTTAAATATAACTATAAAGGGTGGTTTTTAACTGATGGTGTATCATGATACAGCGTAGATGTCTAGTGAGATTAAGTATACAAATGATGCCTAACACTAGGCTAAGCAATTATACATATTAAATATGCACTAAGTTCTTCAGTAATAATGTTATTTACTATCAAAAGTTTTGTAATAATAGGCTAACAAGTATACTGTACTGTAGCATACTAAATAAGGTTAACACTAATAATTACTTTCAGCTCTTAAATATAAGACATCTCTTGAATATTTCTTGCTCAACATTTTAACAAACTATTTACAAAAATAATTAGACAGCTGACTAAGCAAATGTTTAATTGTAAATGAGCCTATATGTTTATTATCTGACTACATGTACATTTTCTGTAACATAAATGAATAGATATCTGAATGTTATTTGGTTAATTTGTTTCTAATACAGCCGTGTAAGAGTGGTTGTCATTCAGAGCACAGAACCTTATCCCTTGGATCCATTAATTACTGCTAAATTATAGGGGTGGTGGAAACATACACCTTACTTCATACATTACTGAATAAAATTATACTG